CCCCCCGCACTCTCTCTCTCTCTTTCTCTCAAAAGTAAATAAACATGAAAAAAATAATTTTTTAACACAATAACAGAATTGTACAACCCTTTGCCTCCACCCAAGTACAGCATTTAGATCGAAGAGACCCAGAGCATAAAAGAAATATGCTTAACATTTTAAAGAAATATATACAGAATTTAAAACATAATAGTAACCTACTATCGGAAATAGAAATGAAAGAGTCAAAAGAATTTAAAATCTTAATGGGTGATTAAATAGCAGATTAGTCAGAGCTGAAAGAAAATTATTGAACTAGATGACAGATCTGTGCCACGTACAGAGAGGAAAAGATAAGAAACGTGAAAGAGCAGAGTCCTAGGGGACAGAATCCAAAGATCCATCTAATTGGGATGCCAGAAGAAAAGAGGGTAACAGAAGGCAACATCTTCAGAGATAAGGGCTAAAAGTTACCCAGAATTGATGAAAGACCCGTGTCCTCAGGAGCACAAGCCTTGAAAAAGTTTAACAGAAAGAAATCCACATATACACACTGTGTAGTGAAACGCTAAAACCTCAGATGCCGAGAAGATATTGATATGTCAGAAAAAAGGGCACATGACCAGATATGAGTAATTATTAAAAACCAAACTTCTCGGGGCACCTGGCTGGCTCGGTTGGTCGAGTGCGTGACTCTCGATTTTGGGGTTGTGAGTTCAAGCCCCTTGTTGGGTGTAGAGAGTGCTTGAAAATAAAATGTTTAGGGGCACCTGGGTGGTTCAGTTGGTTAAGCATCTGACTCTTGGTTTTGGTTCAGGTCATGGTCTCCTGGTGGTGAGATCGAGCCCCTCATTGGGCTCCATGCTGTGCATGCAGCCTGCTTAAGATCCTCCTTCTCCCTCTCGTCCTGCCCCTCCCCTGCACACGTACATGCACGTGCATGCTCACTCTCAAAAAAAAAAAAAGAAAATTCTTTAAAAAAAACAAAACTTGGGGCGCCTGGGTGGCGCAGTCGGTTAAGCGTTCGACTTCAGCTCAGGTCACGATCTCGCGGTCCGTGAGTTCGAGCCCCGCGTCAGGCTCTGGGCTGATGGCTCAGAGCCTGGAGCCTGTTTCCGATTCTGTGTCTCCCTCTCTCTCTGCCCCTCCCCTGTTCATGCTCTGTCTCTCTCTGTCGCAAAAATAAATAAACGTTGAAAAAAAAATTTAAAAAAAAACAAAACTTCTCAACAGAAACAATGGAGACCAGAAGACAATGGAAGATCATCTTCAAAGTGCTAAGATAGAAAAACTGTTAGCTTTGAATAGAGATCTGTTTAAACAACTTAGAGACACAGAGACATTCAGACAAGCAAAATATCAAGAGTACGAGACATTTACGTTTAGATGAGAAAGGCCAGAGACATCGTAAGAAAACTAAAGGCCAAAAACAAAACACAACAAAACAAAACCTTATAGGCTAATATCCCTCATGAATATCGATACAAAAAAAAAAAAAAAACTGTAATAAAATATTACCGAAAGGAAGATAGCAAGATTTTAAAAAGGATAATACATCATTACACAGTGGGGTTTACAGAAGTAATACACATTTGGATTAACAATCAAACTCAATACATATAA